ACAACATTAGCATTTTTATTGAAGTTTCAGTTTCTTTCTAATTGTCTTCAGAAAAATGAACTTAATAACTGCAAAGCCTCATTAGCCCCAGTCGTCTTTTTTGTCCATCACCTCAATTAGTGGCTTCCTCAAAAAAAGGTGCTGTCAATGACCTCAATCTGCACTTTACTTTTACAGCCTTGATGACACATATATTATTATTTGGCTGACAAATATAACATCAAGCGCTTAGAAAAACTCATCTGCCACCAGTCTATAAAACACAAGACAGCTGCCATAGAAGGCTACAGTCATGGCCTGGGGAGGCGGCTAACTGGCACCATACACAACCTACTAATCATTTCCCCTTTATGAGCAGGGAAGACTCTCTAAAGCAAGGTCCTTATCATCAAGAAGCAAATTAAACATGTCCAGGGATGGGTGAATTCATCAGTACCCTCTATGGCTGAGACTCAGGAGTCTGCCTGCATCAGGAGCAGAGGTCAGTGCAGCTTGTTTGACAGGCTGAACAGCTGAAAGATACTTAATACACCGCGCAATATGAAGGCTCGTATAACCTCCAGCAGTGCCCTGCATGTGAAGCTGGTAGACTGTAAGAGGCAGATAATAGGGTAATGAAACGCTGCAGGGTGGTTCTCTGATAAATGTGGTGCTATAAAAAAAAGAAAAGAAATAAAGAGCAGCTTCTAAATGGGGACTCAGCAGAGTTTAACCATTACTTACATGTAGCATTTATGTGCACATGCTTTATGACAGACATTAATGTTTTAGATGGCAGATAAATATTGTAATAAGATTTTGCTTAGAAAGTTTACAGTTCAGACTTTGATCAAAACATTTTCAGAGCTCCTCGCGTCGGTACAAACCTCTGGGGTAAACGCCGGGGTCCATGAAGGTTGCCATACTGAAGTTGGCCAAGACGAAGAGGAAGACCAGTCCATTGTAGAGAGGCACAGCGGGCGAGATGACTTTAGTCAACCAGGGGCACCTAGAGACACACATCAAGACAAAGACAATCAGGATGCTTCCTGTGTGTTGAGCAGCACATCGTAAACATTTAAACAGCGCTGCATTTTCATCAACCGTGCGTTTCCCCTTCTTGTCTTCACCATAACCGCGTAAAAAGTAACAGCAAAGGTGAAAGTGTTACAAGAAAACAGACTTTCCCATGAATGAGCCTCTATTGAGTAACGATGGAGGGCAGTGTCTAACAAAATGTCTGTTTAACACGAGCACATAAAAGCCCGATGAGGAGGATTTGAAGTGTCTTTGAAGTCAATTTGTATCTTTCTGTTTGGAA